TGTTTTTGCTTGAGGTGTAGCTGTTTTTAAGGAGTGAATGATTATGTCAACAAGTTTCTAGGTTGATATATGGCTTGTGATAATATGGTGTGGTTTTTATTGAATTTTGAGCAGCCAGCAGTGAGGATAACCTAATGGTGCATCCGATGGGTGGAACGCCTTGGGTGGAACTAAAAGCTAAGAAGAAGAAGAAGAAGAAGATGAGCCTAGGCTAGGGTGCAAAAAGGCAATTTCACCATGACACCATGCAAAGGAAAAATGCATAGTCCATGAAATGCATTCAATGGATTGATACTCCCTCAACATGTAACTTCAAAAGAAATTCCGCAAGTAAATTTATCCATTCCACAATTTGCCACATTTGCAGAAAACCAACAAATTTGAAATTTTGGAAAGAAAATTTTAAAAGGAAAAACATTTTGTGTATTTTATGATGTGCGAATGAACTAGCAGAAGCTTGATCTAGCATCATTATAAAATCAATTGGCCTTAGGGTAGGTAGGTACTTTAACCACCAAGGTAAGTACGTATCTCAGACTGATGGGAGAAAATGTAATATAATGATAAAGGCAACAGACAACTAGATTTCAAAGTTCATTTTTGTTTTTGGAGGATATTAACTGGCACCTATCAATATCATGAGGCTGATGACATCATAGTGCCTAGTGGAGTGAGTACCTAATGTGTCATCAGTGCAGGGATTACACTGCCATCAAATTCTTTATATTTGACTGGTTTTCCTCCTGGTGGCCACCCCAACACATTTGGTTTTGGCTCCTTGAAAAAAGCTGGGTTACAGTTCACCCAACTTGAACTCACCCCACCAAAAAACGTAGATTGTGATGGGCCGCCGACTTGATAAAATAAGGCACTTGTTCTGGTCCAGTCACAGATAAATCACAAAGGACAAATCACAAGTAATCTGGCAAGGCTGTATCAAAATCTTAACAAAACGCATCAACTCGCATGCTTGCCTCAAACGCTTCTTATTGTTATACTTCTACTGCTTCTACTGCTATTCAAAAATTTGCCAAGGCCATCTATAGAGCAAAGCAAAACACTGTTCTGTTTGTCCGTACGCAGTAATTTCGGCCTGGCGGACCAATGAGCGTTGGTGACAGAATGGCGACAAATGGTGACTGTGTCACCATTGCATTGCGTTAGCATGGGACCGCACTGGCTCGTTTCTCAGCCGGACCACTTTGCTTACGTGAGAGTTTTGCTGATTCTGCTCATAGAACACATATCGAGCTCAAACGTTGAGGGACGGTAGAGATGCAACTTTTGACAAAGAAATGTAGAGATGCAAGTAGAAGGTATAACAAATGCATGCTCCTACTTGCTCGCGTGTTACAGGCCCTATGCAAGATGCAGTCAATATGAGTATGCGACAAGAATGCAGCCTCTCAGTCACAATATTTGTCACCGGGCACATCATATTTTGTCACCATTTACAATGGCACAATGGCAGCTTTTTTCAGCCCTGGTTTGGGCGGTAGCGATTCGTCTAGCAGCGACGACGTCGCCAGTTGCCTTGGTGCGTCGGTGGGGATATACAAAGTTGTATATCCCCACCGTTCTGATCCCCATCATTAATCGTTGCTTAACGAATTTGAAGTGTGTTTTTCTTTCTTCTGTGTCATGTTATACTTGCTGGTGTTTCAAGAAATAGCATCGGTATTTGTTGGAATGTGAAATGGTTTATACGAGTATGTGTTAGCGACGCGATGTGTACGGCAGCACGCCGGTTACCTTTCGTGAGTGTTGCCCTGCAGTGCAACACGGTGCGGGGGGATGTTAGCACCGGCGGCTGCAGGCCGGGCCGCCCGGGACCACCGAGCGGGCCATGCGGCGGCCGGCCGACCACGTGGCGCTCGGGGCTATGCCGGCACTGAGCTGGCTCATTGTAAGCGGCCCCGTGATTGGTTGTGTGGGCTCCTGCCCTCGGGGCGCCGGCGAGGTGACCTCGGGTCGGCGCACGGGGCTCGAGGGAGTTCGTTCTGGATGCTTGGCGGGGAAGTGCTCGCTGTGTGGGTGGAAGTGGTGCTCTGGCTGTGGTGTGGTGGTGGTGCACAATATAGCAAGTGAAATATCTTAATTGGTGTGGAGAGGAGCTGGACCAGTGGAAAAAGGGACGGGACAGTGAACAGCAGCGAGTCTTCATAGCGTGCGAGTAGCCGATCATTTCCTTTCATCCGGGAATCATAACACGGCCTCTTCCGGGGTGTGTGAGGGAGGCGGCCACAGTGTCTCGCCATCGAGTCACTGAGCTTAAACTCGTTCCCCGGGTCTTGCCATCGAGGCTCGGGTGCGGGGTCTCCGCTCAGACAGGGGTGCGACCAGTCGGCTCCGGCTAACCTTGCCATCGAGGCGCCGGAGTATCGGTTGATCTGTCCGATTACAGTGGTCTCGCCATCGAGAGGCTGGAATCGGGCAGCGGCTGGCGTCTTCCTCACCATCCTGATCTACCCATCGTTCTCCTACAGTCCTTGTCTATCATCCGGCTAAATAAGTGTCGTTGGCGTGTGAAATACCAGAGGACACGTGGCGACACATCGCAATTTCGAGACTTACATTTTATATATACAGTTACACACTGTTTGTCTTATCAATCGCTGAAGTTATAAAGGGATGGTTCAGTCGGTATATCTATGGTGAGCATTTGCCTGTTCCGTAGCTCAGTTGGTAGAGCACCGGACTCCCCGCATTGTCTTCGCTTGCGTTTTGTCCGCCGGCCGAGCCGGAGAAAAAGTTACCGAGTGAAGGTCATTCAAATTTCAAAAACTCAATGACAATGTCACTGGGTTCACGAAAATGTTTGAGTAGTTAGGTATAACATTCATTAACTTGGGGGGGGGGGAGGGATGAATATATCGTTGCAATACGCTGTTCATTACGCGAGTAACTAACAAATAAAAAATGTACGAGTTCATCCTTACTCCACCCGCTCTCCCTCTCCATAAAAAAGAGAGTTAATTGTGTTGCATTTTATTTATACCTATGCATAAAAATAGAGGCGTCAAAGGATATGGCCGAATATCAGCGACCCTTGCCGTGTAAGCAATTGGGTATGACAAGTGGGGGTAATGGCCCCGTCCAGCGCCCATAAAGTGGGCACCACTCGTGCGACCTGCTGACCACTGTTCTAGATAGAGCCATAAAACACCGTGAATATTTTAAGCTGACGATACGGATCGACTGGTATGCAACATGTTTTATTTCTGGTGAGGTCATGAACTTGACCTCAGTTAAAATTTTAAAATTATTTTTTGTAGTCAAATTATAGTTCATTTATCGCATTATGATGAGAGAAATACTATATCCCGGAAAAATAAACGTAATACCGCTGAGCTTAGGTTGAATCTGAAATCATTACTTAGAAAGATTTATAAAAGAACCGTCGAACATGTCTTTTTTGGTCAGTAAATATCAGTAGGTATGCCGCCCCCTCTCAGATGCCAAGTGCCGCCCCTATGAGTGCAAAATGCCGCCCCTAATTGTGATTGCCGACCCAGTGAAAATCCCTTATAATACGCCCTGTACCAACAGCGCCACTGCTACCGGGTCACGTGATCAATGAGCATGTAGCGCGGCCTGTACTCATTCGCCATGGCCTATTATTTCGCAACTTTTATATAAAGCTGGAATGCTTTAGAAATACCTGGTGCGGACTTCAAAAAAGTTCAATTCAGTGGAAGTGTGTGTAGTTTGGTATGTTTAATTTAATAGATTTTCTTTTTGTTACTAGAATGAAGCATTGCATTTAATGCCATTTTTGAAAATCATTGTATTTTAATGCTCTTACAAAAAAACTTATTGGGAACATTTCGTGTGCTGTTTACTAATACATCTAGGCGCTCCCAAGCTTTTTATGCAGAGCACTGTTGCCTCATTACGGTTACGACTTACGAGACTACTTCATTAATAAACAAATTACAAAGTACTGGTGTGATCGATTCGCTTTGAGTAACGACATCGTTCGAACTCATTAGTTAATTCAACTGAGCCTATTGACCGCTTCATCGAATATTAGACGCGTTCTAACTGCAACGCAAACGTTCCAAAATATTCCTATATGTATGTGTCTCTCTGTTTGTTCACATAGTTTGTATTCTAGCCTTGTCGCGTAGGGTCGGCGTCGGGTCATAAGTGGTCATAAATGGAGGTCCATGTGCCACACATGTGCGCGGCAGCAGGGACACGCCGGCCCGTATATCGGGCGGCCCGGCTGGATATTGGAGACGGGCGGGCAGTGGAGAGCAGGGCGGGAGAGAGAGAGGACGGGTCGGTGTGCGCGTTGAGATGTCTGAAGGGTGAAGAAATACAGTCTACGATAGACGCAAAGTTTGAATGCCACAAGCTATTTCGGCATTTTTCTGAAAAGTGGTGAGAAGATGCCGGGTGTCGAGGAGGAGACCAGTGACGCCGCGGGAAGAGCGGTGATGGAGGTGACTCCGGCGTTCGACGCCAGGACTATTCCGGAGTTCGACGGAACTGGAAACGTACTGGAGTGGCTGGAGCAGGCTGCTCTCCTGTGCGAGCTGCGATCAGTGTCCCTGATGGCTGTGTTGCCGACTCACCTGCGCGGCGGTGCTTTCGCGGTGTGGTCCCGAATGCCCGCAGCGACTCGTCATCAGCTGCCCAGCGTGAAGGCTAAGCTGCTGAGGGCCTTCGCCATGGACCCGTTCACCGCGCAGGCGGAAATGGCACGGCGTCGCCTTCATCCCGGAGAGACGGCGGATGTGTACTTAGCGGCGCTGCAGCAGCTCGCTGAGTTGATGGGAGGTCTGCCGGAGAGAGCTATCGCCATCACCTTCGTCAACGGGCTGCCGGAGGCTGCGCAAGCTGCGGTTCGGGACGGGCTCGGAGACGAGTTCACTCTCGAGTACGTCCTGGACCGAGCGAGAGCCGTACTGTCCAGGACAGCAGTCACGGCAGCGCCACCGGCGGCGGCAGCGGCGGCGGCGGGGGCGGCGGCGGCGGCGGCGAGTGGGCCATCACGTGACATTTCAAGGTCAAGTCGCCGGCCGGCTCCGATCAGATGCTGGATATGTGGTCGCCCAGGTCATATCGCCCGGATGTGCCCAAACGGCTGCGGCGGGGGAGCTGCATCAGCGCCAGCACCTCCTCCGCCGTCCACCGAGCCGGCAGCAGAGCGCCGGTAATCCAGATGCTGCTCGACGGGCGACCGTGTCACGCGCTGGTGGACACGGGCTGCGAGGAGACCGTGGTGTTCGCGGGTTGTGTCGATAAATGGGATCGATGTGAGACAAACTTGACCGCGGTGAATGGGAGTGTCGTGCGATGCTGCGGGAGTGCAGAGGTGCTGCTGGAGGCACAAGGCCGGCGGGCGGTGGTCCGTGCTGTGGTAGTGGCGGAAAGGTTGTTGGGTGTTGACGTGCTGTTGGGCATGACCGGGTTAGAGGCGCTGGGTGGTGTGTTTGTTAGTGGTGGAGAGGTGCGTTTTGGTGGTAAAGTGGTGACGGGGGAGCGTTCGGGGTGCGCCGGTGTAAAGGCAGAATCGAGCGGTATGTCGGCAGCGGTGTCTCAGGGGCGTGGTCCAGTGGACAGACAAATCGAGACGGCTGATTTTGTGGCTAAGTTCAGCGACGGAAAGTGGACAGTTTGGTGGAGGTGGGCCGACGGAAAGGAGCCAAAACAACTCAAGAATACTGTGCCGCAATATCGCGTGCCGGCAGAGTCGCAAGAGCGGTTCGACGCAGAGTTACGGCTGTGGATCGAGGAAGGGTGGCTGCAACCGTACAATGAGCAGGAACACGGGCCGGTGCGTGGCCTAATTCCGCTCATGGCGGTCACCCAAGAAGCCAAGGACAAGGTCAGGCCGGTGCTCGACTACCGTGAACTGAATGAGCACCTGGTGGCTCATACGGCTGAAGCTGATGTGTGCCGCGACCAGCTCCGCAAGTGGCGGCAACACGGCGACGATGTGGCCGTCATCGACCTGAAGAAGGCGTTTCTGCAGCTGCACGTGGCCCAGGAGCTGTGGCCGTTTCAGACGGTAATCGTGGACGGCCAGCGACATTGTCTGACAAGGGTCGGATTTGGTCTCAGCGTTGCAAGCGGCATCATGCGAGTGGTAGTGCGGGAAGTTTTGGATCAAAGTCCAGAGATCGCAAAAGCAGTGCTCCCGTACGCTGACGACCTACTCGTCAACGAGACGCTCATCTCTGCTGAGCGGGTGGCCGAACATTTTGCCGCATACGGGCTCTCGTGTAAGCCACCGGAACGGGTAGCGGATGAGGCCGGAGCCCGGATGCTGGGGCTCCGAGTGAGACGGCAGTCTGGCGGTGACGGCACACTGAGATGGTCTCGGGACAGCGTGACACCAGCTGAGCCACCCGGAGTGCTGACCAGGCGGTCAATCTTCGCCTGGGCGGGTCAGCTAACCTCACACGTGCCCGTCGCCGGGTGGCTGCGGCCGGCCGCCGCCTGGCTGAAAAGGGCGGCGAACAAGGTCACCAAAGATTGGGACTCAATACATGGCACGTAGTGTAATACATCCAGCATATTTTTACTATGTATACTTTTTCCTACTGCTAATTGAAGCGAGACGATGGCAAATGCAATGCAGACCCTAATATCCCGGAGAGGTGGATACAAATTGAGTATAACTGTATATCTGGCCGGCAGTTTATTACTCAGATACCTGGGTTCCGCTCGCCTGGTGGCCCAGATCCCGGCGTCCATGACGCTCGGCGGCTGGTGTGACTCCCGCCGTGCTGGTTTGTTTGTGAAGCTCGCTGAGTGTTTGTGGAATGGCCAAATAGCACAAACACGACACCTGCGCGAAGGCCGGCCCAGCAGGCCCCAACCTTGTCGACTGTGATCGAGTCCAGAGGGCTGGCGCCAGGAGAGGAGTGCTAAAACAGGCACGTGCTTATGTAAGACATATCGCGTGTCAAACATCTGTTGGGCGCTGTCTGCTGACACGGACGATATGTTCCACCGATGTAGCAATGTGACTGCGTAGAAATGTAACAATACAGTTATTTTCCACGTCTTCAGCGAACAGTTGCTCTAATCTGCCGTCCTCATCAGACGGAAAGGCAAGCTCATATGGGACATCCGTCGGCCCATTTGGCCGTGCCATTTCCACTCCCAGTTGCCCAGTCACAGAGATCACCGTACGAGAATAACCCGGCTCGTCAGCTCGCTATTCATAGCCGGCAATGAGCGCCTGTGAAAACAGCCCCCCCCCCCGACGGGCGAGGCCGGATGCCGCGCCGGTCCGGTCCTCTGCAGCACACCATGAGAGCGGCGCTGCCACGGCCGGCCGCCGGTCTCCCCATCAATCGGGGAATTATCTCTGAGGGCCTATCGGCACTCGGTGCGTGACTTGGTGCCGGCCACAGCGGCCGCAGTGTCACAGCCGCCCGGCCGCCGGGCAAACAGTCCCAATGTAATTAGCGCTGTTGGCGTGTCGACGTGTATGCACACGGAGCGCCGATTTCGTGACTGCGGCCGCGGACAGCGGACCGTCCGCGGTCCGGCCCGGTGACAGACAAACTGACAGAGCGGGGTCACCGCCGCGCCGACAGAGCGTCCCCGAGGCGTCACGGGCGCGGTCACATTCCTGATGGAGCGGAGGCGAGCATTCCGTGACACCTGCCACGCAACGTACCGCCCTCAGGGAGACCTGTACTGACTCAGCCGAACTGGGGCTGACGAGGCCGAGGGAGAGACTTCAGCCGAACTTTGGCTGAAGAAGTGGACTTCAGCCGGACTGATGGGAGACGGTAACTAATCGAGACGAGAAGGACGCCGGACGCGCCTGGAGTGGACAGACCCGCCCCGTCGAGCCGACAGCAGCGGCTGAAGCAGCAGAAATGTCGCTCTGACGGGGACCAGAGGTCAATAACTAACGCCGGGACTGACAGGTTTCCCCGCACTGTCTACTTTGGTTACAGGCCGCAGGATTTCGGATAGAGTGCGGGCGGGCATTATGCGGCGATTGAGATAGTAATGAAGGCGAATATACGGACACAAGGGCCAGACATACAAAAAGGTTAGGAGATGGGCAGCATTTTGAATCACGAAGCCAAAAGATCATTAGTACACAATTTAAAATCACTTTCATGATCAAATAAAAATATCAGCTCGCTTATAGCTACTCGCTACAGTATAGGCATTCGATTAGGATGCCAATTGGTGAATGTGCATAATGGACGTAAGACGGTTATGGTAGCTGAGTTGCACAGCATAAGTTAAGACGGTGATATGTTAGGATGATCCTATGTCAACCATCCGGGCTGATAAAAGAACAATGGCATACCGGTGACAAATATTATCAAGGGAACTTGTTGCATTGCTAAAAATGGACAGTATTTATAGTTCCACTACGATCTTCGTTCACTTTTGACGAAGAACATCCGAGGACGTTATTACATAAATGTTCTTGTCAAACGTGCCGTCTATGGCTTCGCACATTTCCATTTGCATCGCGGGCCCATCTGTTTTATTACGTAACGAACTGTTACCAAACAAATCTGAGACAAAAAATAATTTCAATAGGCTTCTTGTCCATTTTGGCAAGTGTTCAGTGTTATTCCATGGCTTCCCAGGCAATTTGACTCATCGATACATCCTAGCATCCCACAGCGTAAAAGGCTTACCTATAAGTAAAGCTTAACCTCGCGGTCCATTCGTATGCTTATTATGAGGACACCCCCATCACACCTTGTTTGGACTCTTCGCCGCCGCTGGCCAGTCATCCCCGCCAGCCCGGACAGTTGTAGGGCCTCACTGCTCGCTCTGTCGCGGCAGCAGCGAGTCGGTTTGTCGTGTAGCGTGCAGCAGTCGGCACAATTTATCGGCGCGACTTTGACGGTGCCGGGCGCGCGAGCTCCATTTCGGCCGGCGCTGCTGACAGCTGACTGCAGATGTCCAGGGTCAAAGGTCGCACCGCCGGAACCAGGTAATGCACTTGGCGCCCCGCCCCGCCCCGTGACGTCAGAGGTCGGTGTCTCGGTGCCCCCGGGCGCCGGGGGGGGGGGGGGGGGGCAGGGACGAGGGCAGACGCCAGGGACAGGGACGGGATTGGGGCCGGGGACCGGGGCTGGGATTGAGGCGGAGGACCCTGCCACTGCAGTGGTGCTGCAGGGACGGTGGGTGTGAATCTCCGCAGCCGGCGCGGCGGTGTCTGGTCGGTGAGTCATTGCTGCCAGGATAGGTAAAGATGAAAATATAAACGGACAGGACGAGAATTTAGAGATCGGCGTTTCTGAGACCTGTGATAAAGCTATTTGTTGAAGTTCCTGGTTCGGTGTAAAACAAACAAACGCGAGTCGTAAGCCAACGGCTGTTTGTATGTAGAAATGCCAGTGCTGAATGAACTGTGAGCTATATTCGATTTGATTCTGTTTGCAATTTCGTAATCCGTAAATTCATGTTTTACTGACAACGTTAAGTTCTGGTGAATAGTGGACCAATTTCCATTATGTCTAGCTCAAGTTACCCTATTTCGATTTGAACATTTACAAAATCATAGTGTGAAGGACTGATTTCGGAAATGCGGCCGAAATGCCGTAAATGTGCCGTTTTTTATTCGTTTCTCGTTTGGCCAAATTGGATGGCTTGATTTGGCCAGTTGTTCTTATAACCAGTCCATGGTGATCTGAGTGGCTCAGATTATGAATATTTCGATATTTCTTCGAGTGCCTTCTTGATATGAACGAAGCCCGCAGCGTAGGTATTGCGATGTTGTTGGCAGTTAGCCGTCATGATTTTTGCTACATGCCTCTCAAATTGGATCCTTTCTCGTTGCGCACTTGTCTCGAGAGCGTCTCGAGAGCCCCCCGCGTCCACTCGATCCGACGGACTGTCAGACATGAGAGCTATGCCGAAACAAGGCCAGCACGTCTCTCTAACCTGTCCGACGGGCCGTGCCGCCGCCAACAGCAGGATTCTTACAGGCCAGCAGCACACAGCCGGTGACGCAGACCGGCCGACGGCGGGCCAGCGTCGGATAGGTACCGGGACGCAAGTTTACGGTTACCGGGACCACCGCCGTGCCCCGCGGGCCGAGCCAGACGGGCATTGGCAGCCAGTCTGTTGGCTTTGTGAAACGTGACCCGCCGCTCATCGGCGCTACTCGGCAGCCTTTTGAGTTGGCTCCAGTTGTTTTGCTTCACCCATGAGCCTGGGTGTCCCATTTGTTGGTGCTGACTGCTGACTATGTTAGCTGAAACTAAGCTAGCAGAAACGAGTATGCAGCTACTCGCAGACAGTCAACAATGCCAAGGAAGTCAAAAATACAAACAACCTAAACTATTTTTGTATATCAATAGCACTGGAGCATTGTTATCAGCGTTTATCTCTGTTGCTGCTCTCCATTGCCCATTCAGTGCTCTCTGACCTTCGGACAACGGCGGTGCGCTGCAGTGCATTCGTGGAATCACGAGGCCGGCTCAGACACGATGTAAGCAAACCTCATTGTCATTTCAGCAATTGGGTGGTGTTCAAAATTCTCTGGAGCAACACAAGCCTGAGGTGGTAGTGGGTCCAACTACGGTCCATGCGGAGATTGTGCTGATGCGGGATGTTTCTCAAGTGCCGCGTTAGCTACATAGTTAGTTGCCCTTGCGGACAATGCGCCACCGTTTTAAAAGGCTCATGCTCAGCAAAGGGTGCTAATGTTAATAAGACCATTACTGAAGACGTTTCAAATAACATCATTATTATTATTTATTTATTACCATTAGTTATCATTAATTATTTGTTGGTTTATTCAACATATCAATGAACTTCTGAAATAATGATACAATATTGATGGGAACACTTGCAGGATTGGCATCGGACAAAATTGGTAGCGAATAAATCGGATTAAATGCAATATCCTGCCAATGGCATAGTTATTTGATTAGCTGTTCGCCGACGACCACGTGTTTTATTATTGTACCTAATATTTAATAATTAACATATTAATGCACACCTCCATCAGATACCCTCTAAATGGCTTAGAGCTTTGCATAAAAAACGAGGCACGTGCGTCGGCGCGCACTAATCCTGTCTGACGGTAGTGTTGACTGAACAGCGCGCACTAATCCTGTCTGACGGTAGTGTTGACTGAACAGCGCGCACTAATCCTGTCTGACGATAGTTGACTGAACAGCGCGCACTAATCCTGTCTGAGTTCGGACGATAGTTGACTGAACAGCGCGCACTAATCCTGTCTGAGTTATGGCGATAGTTGACTGAACAGCGCGCACTAATCCTGTCTGACGGTAGTGTTGACTGAACAGCGCGCACTAATCCTGTCTGACGATAGTT